GCAGAATTCCCATTTTTCCCGCAGAAATTCCCTTTTCCCAGCAGAATTCCCGTTTTTCCCAGCAGAATTCCCGTTTTTCCCAGCAGAATTCCCAGTTTTCCCATCCAGAATTCCCGTTTTTCCCTGCAGAATTCCCGTTTTTCCAGCAGAATTCCCGTTTTTCCGGCAGGTGCTGCTCATGGTGGGGCTCCCGGGCTCCGGGAAGACTCAGTGGGCACAGAAACATTCCCAGGAAAATCGGGATAAACGCTACAACATCCTGGGAACCGAGCGCGTCCTGCACCAGCTGACGGTCAGCGAGCACGGGAATTCCGGAATTCCCGAATTCCGGATCCGGGAGTTCGGGATCCCGGGAATTCGGGAGCCAGGGAATTCGGGATCGGGGGAATTCGGGATCGGGGGAATTTGGGATCGGGGGAATTCGGGATTGGGGGAATTCGGGAGCCAGGGAATTCGGGATCCCGGGAATTCGGGATTGGGGGAATTCGGGATCCCGGGAATTTGGGATCCCAGGAATTCGGGATCCTGGGAATTCAGGAGCCAGGGAATTCGGGATCCTGGGAATTCGGGATGGGGGGAATTCAGGATTTGGGTCCTGGGAATTCGGGATCCCGGGAATTCGGGATCGGAATCCCGGGAATTTGGGATTGGGATTGGGGGAATTCAGCATTGGAATCCCGGGAATTCGGGATCCGGGGAATTCGGGATCCGGGGAATTCGGGATTGGGGTTCTGGGAATTTGGGATCCCGGGAATTCGGGATTGGGGGAATTTGGGATCCCGGGAATTCAGGATTGGGATCCGGGGAATTCGGGATCCGGGGAATTCGGGATTGGGGTTCTGGGAATTTGGGATCCCGGGAATTCGGGATTGGGATCGGGGGATGGGATTTGGGTCCTGCACCAGCTGCCGGTCAGCGAGCACAGAGCCCGGGAATTCCGGAATTCCGGATCCGGGGAATTCTGGGATAATTCTGGGATAACTTGGGAATAATTCCGGGATAATTCAGGAATAATTCTGGGATAGTCCCGGGATAATTTGGGAGTTATTCCGGGATAGTTTGGGGATAATTCCAGCATAATTTTGGGGATAATCCCAGGATAATTCCGGGATATTTCCAGGATAATTTGGGAGTAATTCCAGGATAATTCCGGGATAATTTGGGAATAATCCCAGGATAATTCCGGGATAATTTGGGAATAATCCCAGGATAATTCGGGAATAATTCAGAGATAATTTTGGGAGTAATTCTGGGATAGTTTGGGGACAATTCTGGGATAATTTGGGAATAATTTGGGAATAATCTTGGGATAATCCCGGGGTAATTTGGGAGTAATTCCAGGACAATCCTGGGATAATTTGGGCATAATTTGGGAATAATCTCGGGATAATTCCGGGATAATTTGGGTGTAATTCTGGGACAATCCTGGGATAATTCCGGGATAATTTGGGAATAACTTGGGAATAATCTCAGGATAATTCCGGGATAATTTGGGAGTAATTCCGGGACAATCCTGAGATAATTCCGGGATAATTTGGGAATAATCTCGGGATAATTTGGGAATAATCTCGGGATAATCCCGGGATAATTTGGGAATAATCCCGGGATAATTTGGGAATAATCTTGGGATAATTCCGGGATAATTTGAGAGTAATTCTGGGACAATTCTGGGATAATTTGGGAATAATCTCGGGATAATCCCGGGATAATTTGGGAATAATTCCGGGATAATTTGGGAATAACTTGGGAACGATTGCGGGGCAGACGCGGGGGCCGGAGCCGGAGGAGTTGGATGCCAAGAGCCGGGAGCTGCTGACTCAGCAGGCGGCGCAGTGCCTTAGCAAGCTGGTGCAGATCGCCCCCCGCGCCCGCCGCAACTTCATCCTCGACCAGGTATCCCGGGAAAATAACTGGGAATGGCAGGGAAAAGTCCTGGGAATCCTGGGAAAAAATCCTGGGAATCCTGGGAAAAAATCCTGGGAATCCTGGGAAAAAATCCTGGGAATCCTGGGAAAAAATACCTGGGAATCCTGGGAAAATAACCTGGGAATCCTGGGAAAAAAATAACTGGGAATGCTGGGAAAATAACCTGGGAATTGTGGGAAAAATAACTGGGAATGGTGGGGAAAAAATCCTGGGATCACGGGAAAAAAAATATCCAGGAATGGCGGGAAAATAATTGGGAATGGTGGGGAAATAACTTGGGATCACAGGAAAAAATCCTGGGAATCCTGGGAGAAAATAACTGGGAGTGGTGGGGAAAAAATAACCGGGAATGGCGGGGAAATAACCCGGGAATGGCGGGGGAAAATCCTGGGAATCCTGGGAAAAAATCCTGGGAATCCTGGGAAAAAATCCTGGGAATCCTGGGAAAAAATCCTGGGAATGCTGGGAAAAAATCCTGGGAATACTGTGAAAAAAT